TTTTTCATAACTCCCTATTACTTACTTATATATGAAAACTCCTTGTTTTGCCAAGTATCTCCCATGGTTACTCTTCCCACCCCTACATCTTAGCTAAGTGGACCATTTTGCTATTAAATCACAAACAGGTGCTTTCCCACCTCTGTCAGCAATTTCTTCAATCTTGAGAGAACAAGTGTCCAATGTCATCGTGATGCTCCTGTGTGTGAATTACGCACGTGCTCTCGTGCAGCGGTAATATTCATAGCCCGTGTCTCCTCTAGGTGGTGAGACTGTGCCGGGAGTGCCTGCAGAAGCAGGAGCCAGTGTTTGCTGACACCAACCTCTACATGCTGCAGCTGCAGAGCATAATTTCGGAGGTTCTCTCCTATCTCCAGGCCTTTGAGGAGGCCTCGTACTATGCCAGGAGGATGGTGGATGGCTACATGTAGGTGACAATCCTGGGTCTGAGATAGTCTCCTAGAAATGTTTCTAAGTCAAGGATGGCAAGTAGATGGTACCCATTGCTACCTCTCCCTCTTGTACCCATAGCAGGTCTAACTAATTGATCACGGTCTTCTTTATGACTGAGCTTTTTGACCATGGGGCTCTGAGTAGTAATGACCAAATAATCAGAGTTGGTACCTGAGATAAAACCTATGTATTACCCCTGGTCTTTCCCAAATCCTCCTGTTCATTTGTCACTTGAGTGGCATCTACTTTTGGTGTCCGTAAGTCCAGCTTGATTTTAAATGCTTGGAAAGATTTTGCCTGTTAACAAGAAACACAGGCAATCTTGTGAGCTTTCTTTTATTAAAAAAGAAAAAGAGAGATGTTAGCCATCCTCACAGATTTTAAGCCCTTGCCTTCCTTCTGCCAATGTCCTTCCTTGCCGATTGTGTGCACATTGGTATGTGAATTTGTATCCCTGGCCAAACGAGTAAGTTGGCATAAGCAGGTTCATTTTTTGAGAAGATGTTACTTTTAAACAAAATCTGGGAAAACTGTATGACATTTAGGTGTGCCAAGGAGGTGAAAATACAGCTCTGCCCTGAGAAGGACATTCAAGTTATTGTTTTTCTCTCGAACTTCTATTGTTCTCCAGGGAGAGGGCTAGGGTACTCCTGAGAGCTCCCAGCTTCCTATATTTGAGTTCAGAGCACAATCCTGACGCCTCATCCCTGTGATGACTAGGCTCGTGGCCTCAGCTCCCACAGCCCCACCACCTGGGGTGTTTGGCTTCTCATCTGCTCTATGGCTCCTTCCCCTCTTGACGGGCTACAGATGCCTCATGGCACTGTTGGGAGAGCATGGGACATAATCAATGAGGACGCTTTGTAAGTTGTCAACTGCCTGTGGATATAAGGAAGGTTGGGATTACATGTGACGATTATTTGCTATGGCCCTACAGGAAGATCTACCACCCCAACAATGCCCAGCTGGGCATGGCTGTGATGCGGGCCGGGCTGACCAACTGGCATGCCGGCAACATTGAGGTGGGGCATGGGATGATCTGCAAAGCCTACGCCATCCTCCTGGTGACACACGGACCCTCCCACCCAATCACCAAAGACTTAGAGGCAAGTAGCATCTCGGGGCTGGGCCCCCCTGCCTGCTCAGAGCCCTCTGAGGATGAAAGATGAGTTCTGGATGCTGCTTTTGGAAAGTCCATAGATTGTCTGCTCGACTAGAGGGAAATCCAGAAATGCTTCAGGCCACTCCCCTTATTTTACATGTGAGGAAACTGAGGCCCAGGGAAAGGGGGGTAACCTTACATAGCAAGTGGATGGCAAAGCTGAGACATGAACCCTGAGATGCTCTAAGCTGGGACATAGAAAACCTAACCAATGGTGTGTGTGTGCACATGTGTGCATGTGTGTGTAGCCATATGCTCCATAGAAAAATGTGCTTGCTCTGTAGAGCAGAGCTTGGGAGTGCAGGCTCTGGAATCAGACTGCTGGACTGAATTCCAGCTTCACCTCTTTCTAGCTGTGGCACTGCAAATACAGAACATGCAGTCTCAGTCTCCTCATCGGTAAAATGGAGAGAAAGGACAGGGTTGTAACAAGGACAGTGAGTTACTGTGTGAGCAGCACCACGTTGCCTGGCAGGTGGCATGCTCTCAATAGCTGCTGGTTTCCTTTGTGCCTTGAAGGGTTTATTTGAGTGGCAGGGCTCAAAGGACTGTCCCCAGCAGTGAAGTACAGGGAAAAAGGAGAACTTTGGTGTCATAAAATGTATGAGAGGACTAACTTAGATCTAGTGTAATAAGCTTGTCAAAGGCAGAGTCTTTGTCCTCTTAGTCACGGCCATATGCTCAGTGCCCGACAATGCCTGGGACTCGATACATGCTTCTTGATTGGAAATCTGGGCAAATGAGGGGTTTTCTACATGCACACACTATAGTCTCCTGGTTCCATTGTAAAGACTGAAGGAGTCATACCCTGTCATGCGTGAGGGAACTGAGGGATGAAGGGATTAGGTCACTTGCCAAAGGTCCCATGGACTTAGGTGGGACCTAGGTGCAGGGGCCAGTGTTCAAAGCCAGGTTCCGATGTGGCACTTCCTGAGAACAGACATTCTGTGCTGAGAATAGTCCTTCAAGCTACTCTCTCAGGGGTCTGACACCTGCTCCTGACAAACCAAGCCCACTGCCAGGATATTAGGCCTCCAGAAGATGCGTGTGTGCGTGTCCTCTGAGGTACAGTTGAGTCTTGGTGACTGGGAGCCACTTACCCCATTGTCTGCCTTTCCCAAAGCAGCCAAGGTTGGTGAGAGACCAGCATGCCCTGAGGGCTTGTCATTACTGTTTGTGGTGTATCTGCGTCCCACAGGCCATGCGGGTGCAGACGGAGATGGAGCTGCGCATGTTCCGCCAGAACGAGTTCATGTACCACAAGATGCGTGAGGCCGCCCTGAACAACCAGCCCATGCAGGTCCTGGCCGAGCCCAGCAGTGAGCCAGTCCTGGCTCTGTTCCATAAGAAGCAGTGAGGATCTGCCTGGTGGGGCAGCAGCAGCTTGGCTGGGAACAGGGGAGACCTTGTGGAGGTGGTGGGTTTCCAAAAGGCCCTTGGTAAGGAAGGCGAGGAAATGCTCAACTTTGTTACTGTGGGAATGTACTGTTCTTTGCTCCCCAGTATCATTGTGGTGCATTTCAACTCAGTTCAATTCAATTTTGCTCTATGTAGCCCAGCTCAGTCCAGCTTAGCCCTGATCATTCTATGCATATTTGTTGGGTGCCAAGGTCGTAGGGGTAAAGAAGCTCCAAATGCAACCGGGGAGGCAAAACTTAGACAAACAAAACACAGTGTAATATATGCAATGGTAAACTATATGGAGAGAGGGGTGGTGTGGAGGGCATGTTTCTGGTGTGTGTGCGTGTGTGTGTATGTACACACACAGTGAAGAGTGTCAAGGGGGAGATGACATCTGAGGTGAGGGTGGCAGGTGCCCAGAGTCTCAGGTGGCTGCTCAGATATCTGTGCAGGTGTCTTTGGGCTGGGTCTCACCCATGGTCTGGAATATTCAGGATTTGGCTGAGTAGGTGATGGGTGATGTCCAGTTTCCTCAGGTTAATGCGCAGTTATAAAGAAGGTTCTACTCAGAGAACTGACACCTTTTCAGAATGACACATATGCAGGAAGAGGTGGGTGCTTTGCTCACACTACTTGAGGCCTCAGTTTAAAGTCTGGATTTAAAATATTCTGAAATGATTTCTGAAACACAGAGAGGGAATGTTTCCTTTCTGCACCCTCTCCACCAAGCCCTGTGATTCCCTGTGATGTGGGGGCTAGTTGGACAGTATCTGAGATTTTTCTGGCCACTGGCCTACTAGGACTGAAGAAGTCTTTTCAGACACTTCGACTCCCTCTTTGAATTATTGTGTACATGGACTACTAGTAGGGTCCAGCAGGCTGGCCTTTGGGCTTTTACTTGGTTACATGTGCCTGGGTTATCCGTAAGAGCTTAGACTTCATCACCAGCCCCCAGTAAATCTCTATTCTTAGTAATGAGTAATTATGACTCCCCTTGCTTAATTTTCACTGTCCATGCCTTGGGGCTTCTGCTCTTCTCACCAGAGAAACATCTAATCTGGACTCCTAGGTCAGGATCTCTTTGGGGGTGTCACCAACTGCTGTCATCTCCTGGGAGGCTGTTATTGTTTCCTAAGAGTGAGGGTCTTGGCAATCAACCAGTCTAGTTATACTGTGATCCTCTGAGATTCCAAACTTCTCACCAATGTTTTGGGAGATCCTGGAAAAAAGCCTTCCATCTGGGGGTGCCACCTAGTCTTCTATACCCTCTAAGGCCACCCTTGACCCCAGAACTGTAGCTAACATCTTGAAATCAAGTGATCCAGCAGGCCTCATATCTATCGTTTCTGCCTACAGTGTTAGTTCTACATCTCCACTCTTCCATTGTTGGGATGACCCACTGCCTCCCTCTGAACCTGTCCAATGTCTCTGCAAATGTGTCACAAGTCTATGCAAAAACTCTCCAAATGTGCCTCCTCTTTGCAGAATACATGTACCTGGCACTGGGCTCTTCATTCTCTTTTCTCTAGAAGCTTTCACAGCAGGACGAGCAGTTCCTCCAAGCCCCACACTACAGGCCTAGAGACGATAACCAGCACTTTCCCAGGGACCCAACAGGCACATTCAAAGGATCACTCTTCTGTCCTCCTATACATTCTCTTCCTTTCTTTGTCACTGTCATCTGCCATTCCACTAGTCAGCCTCCCCATGCAGGGGCTTGTTTTCCATCCCCTCTTCCTTAAAGTTAGTGTCTTTGAAGTCCACTTACACAAGTCATCTCACCCTCTTGTTTCCTCATTTACTCAATTCCAGGTGTCCTTCCACATTCTCCTGTGCACACCCTGGGCACTGTCATCACCCACAATTTCTCCATTTTTGGTGTGTGACTTTTCAGTCATTGCCTCCTACCTTTTCACCTATCTCTGTGTCTTTTCTCCACTCTGATTATGATATGGCATCGTGTATACTTAGTGTTTCGCCCTCCTCCTGTCCTTACTTCCTTCTGGACAAGCTCCTCATCAGCCCTCCTTCCTTTTGGTCCATCCTCCCTTCCTGCCTGGCAGAGTCCCAGCTCTGGACTAGTTCAACTGACTTGTTTTTCCTCTTCTGCCCCTGGAGATGCTGAGCTCAGTCACAGAATATAGGGCCTCTCTGAACAGAGGTGCCTCTACGGGCCCCTGCTCCCCAATCCCAGCTGGCCTCTGCCTGCAGCCCAGAAGGGCTTCCTGTGCCCCTCATTGCCTCCCTTTCCCTTTTGCCCAGGAGCAGTTTCAGGCATTCACTCCTGTCCCCAGGCCATCTGCTTTCAGCAGAGCCTCATCTCCTGCTTCATGGAGAAAGGCCAGAAGATGGCTTCGCTCAGTATCCTTTTCCCGCACTCACATGCGTCATGTCTGTGCCTGTCCTTCCCGAGTGCAATGGGAGCCCCTCTCCTCCTCTAAAACGAATCTCTCCGCCTGTGCTCTGGACCCCTTCCCCTCCAAAGTCCTCAGGGCTCTGCTTTGTTTTTATTCCTTCCTCACCCTGAATCCTTGACATTTCTCCACCCACTGGCTTCTTCAATGCAGTCAGTAAACATGCTGGGGACTCTTACATCATAATCTTCACAGCTGAATATTTTTTTGGAGGATTTGTCTTCAAATAATAGTTATTATCTGCCTTGCTTCATTTCCCATTTCTTCCTGAACCCACTGCAGGCTACCATGCTGAACTCCATTAAAATGGCTCTTACCAAGGTCACCTCCCATGGATCCTTTCCTGTCTTTATGTTATATGGCTTCTCTGCATCCACTGACATGCCCAGCCCTTGATTTCTGGGACACCAGTTCCTTGTGATGATCCTCTGATGTGGTTCCTCAGTCTTCTTCTCCAGCCTTGTTTCACTACCTGCCACCGATATGTTGACATTTCCTGGAGTTGTTCTTATTCTTTCTGGCTCTCTCATCCCCCTCTGCACACACTCCCTGCATGAGCTCAGCCAGGTCCCCATCTAATCACCACCTTGAGGCTGATATTCTTACTCTGTATTCTGCAACCTTGATCTTGAGTTTCAGATCTGCAAACCCTCTGGAACATTCTGCAGGCACATCAAACTCAGCACTCTCAAAATGAAACTCTTTCTCCCTCCCCAGCCTCTGCTCCCCTTCAGCACACTGACAAAGAACACCTGACTTCTGCTTCAGTCACATCTCGAATCTCTACTGCATCCTAGACTTCAGTCAAACCCACTCACTCACGGGTCCCTGTGTGGCCCACATTCTTCTGGGCCCCTCTTTGCATTTTGAAATATTTTATCTAAAACACCTGAAACCTGCCAACTCCTATTTACCTTTCATCACCCAGTTGAGAAATCACCCCTTCTGTGTAGCCTTCTCTGAATGTGTGAGTTTTAGCTGCCTGTCTGTCTGAATCTCCTGTTATCCTTGAATCCCACATCATACCACTGTCCTCATGGCATCATAATTGCCTTTTTATCTGTCAGCCTCCTGAGTGAGACTGTAAGCTCCTGGAGGTAGGAGCTGTGTCTCTTCATTCATCTTTCTCTCCCCAGAATCTAGCACAGGTCCTGAAACACAGCAGGTGCTCAGTTAACGTGTATTGAATGAATGAATGAATGAATGAATAAGTGAATGAACTTCTTATCTCAGAGCAGAAGAGACACGAAATTGTATTCTGAGTTTTTGTGTTATAGCAGTCAACAGAGACCATAAATCTTCCTTGTTTCCAAGCAAATATGTGTGGCTTCTTTCTTTCCGACCATCTATTTAGAGCAGCACTATTAGAACTTTCTGTGCTGATGGGAATGAATTACATCTGCATCATCCAATGTGGCAGTCCCTAGTGATATGTGACTACTGAGCACTTGAAATGTGTGTAAGTGAGGAATTGACATTTTTAACTATTTAATTTCAGTTTAAAGAACCGACGTGGCTATGGCTATACTCTTAGTGCAGTTTTAGAGAATACTTTAAAGATTATAAGATTATGGACACTGAGACATATTAAGATCATGTCTCAGCTCTCCTGTACTAGTTACATGACCCTGGACTGGTTATGTCACCAATGCTTCAGTTTCTGTGTTTCTACTGACCACACAGAGTTGCTATGAGAATTGCATTGTTTTCCTATAAACCCTTAGTTATGAGTGCCTGGCTCTCATAAGTGCTCTATGAGCATTCCCGCCACACTTCTGTTGGGGTGTCCCTTGTCCTAATCAGAAAGTGAAGGTGGCAGGTAGGGTCAAGGAGTGGTATGCTAGAGCCAGCTCTTACCAGCTCAGGAGAGCCCACAGTGCACACGGCTTCCTAACTTTGCATTTATCAGCATCACATTGATAGCTTGACTGGCCATGGTGGGAATATTTACGCCATGGCAGTCACTTAACTTTAGAAGGACACATTCATTTGTAGTGTTGTCAAGCCATAAAAAGGGGGTTTGCTACATAGAAGTAGCAGAATGAATGATTAGAAAGACCACTAAAGAAACCTTTACTTAAACTGAGGTAAAATCTGTATTCTGAAACCTCTACCCCAGGAACATACCAAACAAGTCTAAGATTTCTTGCTTACTACCTAAGATTACCCCTAAGTAATCTATTACACTCTAAGATTACCTTTGGTTACCACCCTTCAGACTAAGCCCCTTGCCCACTGTCCCACCAATGACAGATACCGGTATTAAGGGCCACACATTGACACTGCTTTGGTGAATTTCTCAGGGTTTACTTCTCTAAAGGAAGCAGAAGGCAATCAATATAGTTGGAGCACACAGGAGGGAGAAAGCAACGTTTCTGAGGGCAGTCAGAAGTGTAAACTCTTAGACCAAGGTGTGCACAGTTGTGGATGGTAACAACCAGTGCGTGAAGGAAAAGAGCACTTCTGAGAGCTCCCTTGCTCAGCATTACATACCAATCACCCAGTCTCACACTGTCCAGGACACCTCATCAATCTCATCAATATGCAGCATAACCACAGGCCACCACGTGGGCCTGCTAACTCTGGCGTGGATTTAGTCCTTATTATCAGCCACAGCCTCCCCAGCTCAAGTGGCTTGATCTGAAAACAGTGCAGTCCAGGCATGGTGCTACAGTTTCCCAGATGTCTTTGGACTCCGTGTTTATTGCCTATCACTGCTGTAACATATTACTGCAAACTTGGTGGCTTAAAACAACAGATTTATTATTTTATAGTTCTGGGGGTCAGAAGTCCAAAATGGGTCTCACAGGGCTAAAACTGTGGTGTCAGCAGAGCTGGGTTCCATCTGGAGACTCTGGGAGAAGAATCTGTTTTTTGCCTTGTCCAGCTTCTAGAAGTTTCTTCTAGAACGCTCACATTCGTTGGTTTGAGACCCCCAGCCAGCAATCACATCACCCTATCTCTGAGCCTCCTGCCTCCCTCTTTCACTTATAAGAACACGTGTGATCACACTGGGCTCACCCAGATGATCCAGGACTATCTCCCCATCTCAAGGTCCTTACCTTAACTGCATCTGCAAAATCTCTTTTGCCATGTAAAGTACCAGGTTGGGGCATCAGCTTGTGGACCCCTTTGGAGGCCATCATTCTGCTGCCACAGCAGTTCTGCTATCAAGCTCTCAGACCCATCATGCAGCAGACCGGCAAGCCTCTGGGCAGAAGAGTTGGGATTTGAATTCTGATTTCCAGGCTTCCTTCCCATACATCATATTGACAGCCATGTCCAATTCACCTCCTCCTTTCCCTCATTCACCAAGACAGGGTGGTTATGTAAGTTCTCAATGCGTCACAGCCTGTTTCACTTCTTCCCTTCTGCTCACCTGTCCTGGGCAGGTGTGGTGT